ACTTGAGACCTTAGAACTTATATCTCAAGGTGGGTGACGCATTTACGTTGTAGATGTTTATGGGCTCCAGTAACCACTTAACACCAAGTGGGCTGTGAGTTCGTCCACCCATCTAAGATATAAAAAAAAATCGCAACGGAGGAACACGGGGATGAAATTCTGCGGATTTTTTAAAAGGAAAATACGTCCTGATAGCCGAAGAAGTTATTCCAGCCAAGCGCGAACAGGTAGGTGAACTCACAGGCTAAACCTAGCTTGCTAACACTAGCCCTAGCAAGAGCAGTGCTTCGCAGACTCCACCACCGGATCGGAATCGGGACCCACTGGGAATATTCGGCGAGAAACTCAGTGGGTTGTGTTCATGGGTTAGTGTTCGCTTCGTCGTGATTATGTAATTAGAGATGGCCACGGTAACAGGGTTATCGTCTCATGCCGCTTTTTCGAAGAAGGGTTGTGAGGCTGTTTTTATTTATGCGTCAATTCTAGTTGGAGATCGCCGTGGAGATTCCTCACATACCACGATGCTCCAATCGTTATTTTGCAGAAACCACATCGAATGACTTGGAGAGAATTTTTGTGGGTACGGGCCGCGTGAGCGACTACAAGGGATAATAAGGGTATAGTGGAGAATCCGAAACATAAGAGTATATTTATTAAAAATCTCACGCAATAGTGAAAAAATGGAAATTTAAAAAAAATTGCCCTAGCTAACACCCAATCCACTCTCTATAATTCGACCACCAGCACAAAAACAAAAGGTTCGATCCACAAGTATGAGAAACCTTGCGATCCGTGAACACGTTACAAAATAAAACGCGCACTCCGAAGAACTAAGCTCATATGCCTAGTAATAATATACAGTTAAGAATTCAGCTTTTTGAAGCATTTCAATAATTTACACGCTATCATGTTTCTCGGTGGAATGGTCGCAATATTACAGAATATTTAGGGCACCCTCCGCCGGAGATACCTCCTCCGGGTGTGATTAGAATACGCGGCTTTCTTTTCCCTTTTGTTTTAAATAAGTCACTCACGTGCACTTCGTTCAAATATCCCGTAATGATAATCCATTTCGAGAGATTTTAATGGTTTTTCTGTTGAGTTTTTTCTTAGTATTGTAGTCGTGTAAAGGTAAGGTTGAAAATTTTTAGATTAATTTTTGCGATGACAAATGGATTCTTTTTGATCATCGTAAGTATTCATCTTGTTGTCAGACCCTAGTTTAGTATCTAGGCAATGAATGCCCATTTTATGAAAATTAACTCTTAAAAATCATGGTTATTGTTTGGTTGTGAAGTGCTGGTATAATTCATCACAGCCTCTTACCAAATGGCACTAACATTACTACGGTTGTGTACTCATGAGGAACTGGACACAATAGAGAAGCTTGCGAGTCTCCGGACATCTTTGGTCAATCGCTCGCCCCCATTGCTCCTACATGACAACTCTCGACCTCATCGGGCACAACAGACGGTCACTAAGTTACAAAAGTTAAGGTTGGAAGTTATGTGTCATCCACACATCAGACCTTCCGTTGACAAACTTCTACTTTTTCCAAAGTTTGGACAACTTCTTGATAGGGAAAAAATCCAAAACCCGAGAGGCTCAATAAAGTTATTTTGAAGAGTACCTTGGCTCCCATACACCTAATTTCTTGAAGAAGGGCATTGAAATATTACCACTGCGCTTTACTAAGAGGGATGAATATTTTATTTTTAATTAAAACTTTCTGTATACTAAACGGCTATTTCATAGGTACTCACTTACATAATATGCAATGCATGTCTTACATAGATACACAATACTGAACTTTTTTTATTTCAGGCCAAGTTACGTCCCCTTTAGTGTTAAGTAGACATCCCTACGCGTGAATGCTGTTAATGTGGAAACATGAGCACGAGGTATTAATTGCACATGTCATTAATGTATCTGAGGGGTCATGTCCAAAAGGAACGCATCACTGCTAAACAAGTGAGAGCTATAAACCCATTCATTTTTTCTACACGAAGTATTCCGTATTGTCGAAGTCCCTTATGAATAAGCGGTAGATATACAATAGGTGTTTTTTGCCACGTACCCTCCAAGCTTGGAATGAGCTCCCCTCGACGATGATGCAGCGGTTTGGTTGTGCTCTTGTCAATATTGATGTCTACGAGCGATGTTGATAACCCACCATCAGATGGGCCTGGCATGGGCATAGGCATCAGATGGGCTTAGCATGGGCATAGGGATCAGATGGATTAACTTGTCTGTTTATCTGAAACTTACAAGGCAGGGCTAAATGATTACGAGTACATAGTGCTTAGACATATTCGAGATCTATGAAGGACAGTTCACGTGGAAGAATTTATCTGCTTTGCTCCTCATTCAAGACCTTCATCGTACTTAATGTCAACATTTCTTATGCAACATTTCCCACATTTAAATTAACATAAAAACTTCTCAGCATCACTTCGAGCGGACATCTTCATAATTATAAAACATTTACAAATGAAAACGCACTCTCGACCTTGTTTGCTTAAGTTTACTTTTCCGTAGCACCATAACTTTGAATAACTGCCAAGAAAAGGCAATCGATATCGTCTGTTTGGCGAGATTTTTAAAGTCCGCTCCACGAAGTCGGCTGTGATGTAAAACGAATGTAATTTCAGACCTTAATGGGTTTGACCTTAAATGCATCATGGAAAACTCTCACGTGTCTTGATGTTTGAACTAGTTCACGTTGAAAATCTAGAATGATCGATTTAAAAGCGCTGACACTATTATCACGTAGTTTCGTGTTATGCGGAATTTTTGTCTTGAATAACCTTTTTGTTAGTTCTTAACGAAATTCGTCAAATCTCTTCTTCAACCCGTGTCCACCCAATACTGAGTGTAGGTCTCTTCGAATGCACCCCATTCTCTTTGGTCTCTTGCCTTTCTCATCCAGTTTCTAACAACCACTTTGACCAGGTCGTCGGTCCACCTCCTTGGCAGTCTGCCCACGTTACGATGTCCAGTACGAGGTCTCAACTCCAGTACTTTTGTGCCTCACCTATTGTCAGTGCGACGACATATTATTATGTGGCCGGCCCACTTCCACTTTTTCCGGGCAATCGCTTTGGCTATGTCAGTCAAACCAGTTCTTCTGAGGATTTCAGTATTGCGCATTTTATCCCGTAGAGAAATGTCTAACATAGCCCGTTCTATGGTTCTTTCGTCAAAATGTACGACCAAATAAGGGGTATTTTAGAGTATCAGTTCCAAAGAGAATATCTCATAACGATAGTATAAGACCAACTAAAGGTATAAGTCAAATTGAGACGACATCGCGAAATTGTATTACCAACTAGTTGGTTTGGCTATTTTTAAAATACATGAGTTCCAAAGTAAAATATTGCCATTTTATTACGCTTCCAAATTAATTGGATATTGTAGGGGTATATTTCGGTTTTGTCGGCAGACCGGCCATACGGCCCACCTGACGATGAGTGGTTTCTCTAGCTCATGGACGTCAAAAATCTTAGGGGCCCAGCCATTTTGCTGCCTACCGCCGAGAACTCTCCGCAAGCCTGGTTTGAAGAAGGAGATATCATAGCGCTCGGAAAACACCGTAGACTTCTAAATCCGGATGGTATATTACAGAAAAGATATCTGGAAATGCACTGTTGATGAACGCAACGATTTCAAATATATAGTGCGGATGGACTCTGTTTTGATGTTATGAAAAAATAAGATGAAGAGATCGTCTTGAACAATTTCTTAGAGCACCCCCTCTTTTTTTATTACTTAGATCGAGCTCACAGCCCACCTGGTGTTAAGTGATTACTGGAGCCCATAGACATCTACAAGGTAAATGCGCCACCTACCTTGAGATATAAGTTCTAAGGTCTCAGTATAGTTACAAAGGCTGCCCCACCCTTCAAACCGAAACGCATAACTGCTTCCCCCGCCTCTTTACTTATCACCGTTTCTCTCATAATTCTAATCAAATGAGCTATAAATTTACAATTGTCTTACTTTCCGTATTCAATAACAAAACAAAAAGAAGTGAATCTCCGAGTTTGAAGCCTCAATTTCTCTTACTTTCGTAAAATCTTAATCATTCGAAAGTCTCATCAAAGTACGAAGCTTAAAGATTCCAGCAGGAGAGCTGATAGAAATGTATTATTAACGTGACATGTTGTAGTCTCGGTGTCTGCGCGTTCTGCGCATGCGTGAGGCTCTTAGGGACGGAATGTAGTCGATAGAAATGTAGGGAAAGCTTTAAGTTGAATTAAATTCAAAAAAATAAAAGTTCATTAAAAAAGCGTCTCGTTAGGGAACATCGAAAATCAAGTTAATGAAACACCTGGTACTGAAATCGGGTTTTAGAAATCATTATAAATTGCTGACGATGAATTATTGGTATCTTGACTACCTAATAATATTGACGAGAATAAAAAGCAAAAGAGATAAGAATTCGTATTACTTCGTAATGTTCGAGATAAGCTCGGTTAGGTTACGCACACAAACTCATACCACCAGAAAAAGAAAAATTCAAACTATCCTCGTTCTGTCGTTCATAAATAATAAGCGAATCATTAGAAAAACCTTAACCCATAGACACAGTCCACTGAGTTTCTCGCCGGATCTTCTCAGTGGGTCGCGTTTCCGATCCGGTGCTAGATTCTGTGAATCACTGCTCTTGCTAGAGCCAGTGTTAGCAACACTCCCGGATTGAGTCCCATGAGCTCACCTACACGTCAAGGAGAATTTGAAATAGCCTCTCAAGGCTATCAGCATAGGTAAGGACTAGGTAAAGACACTATTAATCATCTGACTGAATTAAAATTGACAACTAACCGATCCCTATAGTACTGTCAGAAATTCCGAATAATGCGTTTGGAACTTTTATAAAGCTCGCTGGATTCACCGGAAATCTTTCAAGAAAAATGTTCGTCGTATCGATGTCGATATACATAGAGGCTTTCATCAACGGCCGCGACCCACCTCTATCCCGCCCAGACCTGGTAGTCTGCGGTAGCAGTCGCAGAGCGCGCCCGTGCCCAGCAAGTTCCGCGAACGAACATTGTCTTAATTTGAAAGAAAATGCGCTTCTCCCGTGACGCGTGATTCGGAGGCCGCGGCGCGGGAGTTTGACACATGTTGCAGAGGGGAATAAGGTTCAATTCTGCAAGGCACAACCCTGGCTAGTCCGGTGCAAAGAGCCGCTTTCCACGCCGAAATGACTGGGTAAGGCAAATTTCTTGAAACAATATGGATATTACTATTTCGATATCTTCAAATTCATCAGCCAACTTATGATTAACTTGTACGGTATGTTGACAACAATAATATCCAACTGAAAGTCTGTTGTCTCTTGGGAAGCGTATACGGATGTATGATGTTTTCACAATAATTAACCTATCAGACTTTATTTAATTCTGAATGAAATTTACGCAACAATAGACCGAGGTCATATTTTCATGAAGTTGCGGACACATTGTAACAACTCCTGATAGCACGCTATACTGATAACTAAACAGACAGTAATATTTTTTTAGTAAAATTATATATGAAATTATATACGGTAGGCAGCGGCTTTGCTCTGCCCTGCATTGCTGAAGTCCATGGGCGACGGTAACCAGTCATGCTCGTTAGTCTACAAGGGCAATAAAAAAATATATGAGAAAAAAAAGGTGAGTATTTTAGCCATTTAAACTATGTAAATTTTCAAATACAACCATATTCATTCAGTAACCAACTTACTTACTAAAACATTCAATACACAACATCAAACTTTTTGTGAGTTAATTTTGGATCGTCGACAACTCTTCTGAAATGTTTGGAGAGTTAATGATTCCCCAAGATTAACAAAGTTTAATCAGTTTTCAAAGTATTCGCCGGTGCTGTTATTGACACAGACCTACCAACGATGAAATATTTGCCTATAGTTGATTTTATTTGATCATTTTTTATTTAATTAAAATATGATTTTAATACGTTTTTTATTAGCTTCAGACGTATGTATGTTTGTAACGGAATCTTTGAACATGATTTGGACCCCCTTCAAAACGTCGGATTAACTCGAAATTTGGTATACTTATTAAGGACCGGTGACAATTCAATATAAAAAAAATATTGCAAAAAAATTATGAAAAAAATTAAATCCAACTAAAAAATAGAAAATAAATTTTAATAACTTTTAATAAAAAATAGGGTAAGAAAAATGATTTTATTGTAAAAAAAGCGTGGAGTGCATGGTATCAGTAGTTATAAATATTTTATGAACTGATATGAGTAGAAAAAAAACATTGTAACATAAAAAATGGTCTATTAAAATAGTTTTATTTGAATATTATCCTAATTGAATGATCCTAATTAAATTTACTTCAAGTATAGATAAAGTTGAGAAAGCTGATAGCTTTTACTTATCATAGAGCGTCTCGTGGGCCGGCACGAGTAGGCACCACCACCCTGCTTATATCTGCTGTGAAGCAGTAATGCCTTTCGACTTAAAGGGTGCGACAGCCGTTCTACTTTAAAAACTAAGACCTTAGAACTCATGTCTCAAGATGGGTGGCGGCATTTACGTTTTCGATTTCTATGGGTTTCGGTCATCACATAACACCAGGTGGGTCGTGAGATTGTCCTATACAATAAAACAATACAACCTATACAATAAACAAAATCGAACTTATTTGGTTATTTTCGTAAATATTAGCAGGTGGCAGGTACTCTTAAGAATGTATCTAAAGGAATTTTAAAGAATAAGACGCCTGGAAAAAATCATGAAGTGGATAGTACAAGCAGTAATGAAAAAGGACAATTAATATTGCGATCTATCGTTAGACCCATGTTTTAAGAAGCTATCTCGATACATCCTTGACCCCAACTCGATCGATACGTTATGATCACCTCGAGGAATCTCCGTTATTGGTATTCATAGTTTTTGTTCGCTCTTGTTATCTAGCGATGCTTGGGACTGGTATCCACTAGAATAATCAGGTAAATTTATTAAACGCGAACTAAAGTAGAAAAAACAATTTGAATTTCTTAACGCACGGCGTAGGTTGAGTTTGAATCCGTGTTTTTAATTTCGGCTGTCAAAAATCGAACAGTGACTGACGAAGGCGATTTCTTGTAACTTAGATCACTGAATTTTTATTATGTTGAGTGAAGTCGAGGTAGTTTTTTTTTATTGCTTAGATGGGTAGACGAGCTCACAGCCCACCTGGTGTTAAGTGGTTACTGGAGCCCATAGACATCTACAACGTAAATGCGCCACCCACCTTGTGGTATAAGTTCTAAGATCTCAGTATAGTCACAACGGCTGCCCTACCCTTCAGACCGAAACGCATTACTGCTTCACGGCAGAAATAGGTAAGGCAGTGGTACCCACCCGCGCGGACTCACAAGAGGTCCTACCAGCAGTAACCAGTAACCAGTTACGAAATAACTATTTAGAGTACAGGTGAAAAACATAGAAATTTGTTGTGGTCCCTAATTGGGAGAGAAGAGGGCACCAAAGATTAGTGGCAAAAACATGCTGCTTATTTACTGGGCAGCATTCATAATTGCTAACGATAGGACAGCTACTGTACACTTAATCCATGACTGATGAAAATCAATATTTTGATCAAGACAAAACTTTGCGACGCACTCGGACACTTCAGTCATATTACTCGGAAAACACCTGATAACTTAGAGAGACTATAAATGACAGGGAAGATCGAGGGATAGAGACCGCACGGGCGTTTCCCGACAAAGTGCTTCGATCAAATCCGCACCACACTAGTCCACCACGACCCTGTTCCACGAAGACTTTCACGTGACCAATGATCGAAAACACTGAAAAGATATAATAAAAAATAAAATCCTGTCTAAACAAGATGTGTGGTGGGTGGAAGTTTTGGTGGGTAGCGCATTTACGTTGTAGATATCTATGGGCTCCAGTAACCACTTAAAACTAGGTGAGCTGTGAGCTCGTCCACCCATCTAAGCAATAAAGAAAAAAAATATGGTCGCGACCCTCAGCAGTGAGGAAACAGTGCGAGGAGGAGGAGAGGAAAGCAATTGTAAGTTTATTCCAATTTAACAAAAACATCAACTTTATGCCTGAAGGTAGAAGAAAGCATACACGTAAAAAAAAAAACAATAGGCTCATGTAACGACTAAATTCTAAGCGAAAAAAATAAATGACTTCATTCCATTTGCGGAGGTTCGTACTTGCCACGTTTCGCTATTTGGCAATTTGCCAAGTTCTCAGACCGTTTGATTTCAGATACACATAAGGATTAGCCTATAGCTTAGGCTTCAAGGAACGAGGTTGCAAAGTACCATCAATTTATCTTATTGAGTACCGTTGTCTGTGTCTTCATAGGTTTTATCTATATATATATAAATAAATAATTGCTGTTCGTTAGTCTCGCTAAAACTCGAGAACGGCTCTACCGATTTGGCTAATTTTGGTCTTGAATGATTTGTGGAAGTCTAGAGAAGGATTAAAAGGTAAATATATATGAAAATGCTAGGAATTCAATAAAAATTACAATTTTGTTTTCCATTTGATGTGTCGGACGGATTCCTTTTGTTTGTTTTAAGTTTATTTTATACAAAAGTTTAGGTCTTTTATTTATCGATTGGGGCACTACAAAGTGTGCCGGGTCAGCTAGTTACCTCAATAAATACAAGGTAACTGCAACCTACCTACTAGAAAATTATTGTACAATACACGTCATGAATATTGCGAATGCCTGAGGGAATGCCACATCGCGTTGCTTCCTGTAAAATAAGATTATCGTGCCTCATTTGAAGATGTTATATCATAACGTTCAATTATAATAGTAAATGTGGGTTTATTGAAGTTACAATTCGCGTCGGAAAAATACTCTGAAAACAAACTCAAAAAACTATCTTTTCAGTTATAAAAGTGACACATCTGACATATACCAGGAAGGAAGCCGAGCTAGCTTAGTCCTTGAGCTGGTTTTTCAAACAATGAAAATTGAAAAAAGTTTATTGGCCCATTGCTCATTGGTACCTTCCGTTGCCAAGTAAATTGATTTAGAAAGTGGCTTCCTTCTAACCTCTAAAGATTCAGAAAAATGTCTAAAAGGTGTTTAAAATTTAAAACATCGTTTCACTGCGCAATATTCAAAAGAACTGAACTTTTTTTATATATGTTCTGACCGTTGGAAAGAAATAAATTGCGTTTCACGTAAATAGAGTTTGCTTGTTTTTTGAGGGGCACAGGCAAACAGGAAATGTAATATGGTCGCGACACTTGGTGCTTAAGGTTTGTTGACCTCAGTAAATTGAACGTTTACTGTTTTTGTTTTATTGTTATCAGATGAAGTCGATATAAATCGTCAACGGATAATATCTCGAACGAATCCAGACTCAGCTGTACAATTATTACGGTTAAATAAATGACTGCCTAAAAATTAATAAAAAATACCGTACCGTATTAACAATACTAAAATGCGAGGTGACGTAGAAAAGAATCATTATTGTTTTTACTTTTTAGTTACATTAAGATAATTGTAAATAGATTTATTTACAATAGTCAAAATGTAGCTTTGAATGTACGTAAAGCTATTATCAATGGGGACGATTAAATTACAGATTCTATTTAATTTATCTGTTAGCTTCCCACAGGAATACCTTTACAAATTCTCTGAATTTATTGTTGAATTAAGTCAAGTGTTTCTAAAAAAAGGGATTGCTTCACGCTGCAAGATCTTTTCACAAAAGGGTTTGTTTTTACAAGTAATAAAATCACTTCTTCGCGATTTTAGATTTACAGTCTTTTTAGGAAAAAGATGGTCCAATTTCGTATTCATGGATTTTCGTATTCAGTCACAATACATGAGATGCTCTCAATGCCATTACTCGTTCGGATTTTTCTGAATATAGATGTATTGATCCTTGTTGAATATTTTAGCTTTGATTATAGCTCTGATATTGTTTGAAAATCTTTTGCTGTACGTGACAAATTGGGTTACGTATCGACTTGTCGATAGTACCATTCTCACGGAACGTTTGGAACTTCTGGGCTTACAGAGGGATTTCGGCTCTCACTGTGTTTTGTAACGTTCTTAATGTTCTTAGGAATTGTTCTAGATAATCCTGCCATCTCGCTTGTAAAAACTGCCCACCACTGGAGCAGAATTCATTCATATTATCTTTAACCACTGCGTTCATATATTTCTGCCATTTAATATTGTTCATAGTTAATATTCAAGCTGTTG